TCCTTGGAAGCCAGACACTTTGTGCCTTTATCACCCCCTCATTTTAGGTAGCCAGTGTCTAAGTTATCGGTTGCTCTCTACCCTGTGTACAGAGGGGATAGCATTGATACCTGATGTGAAGACTCCTTCCCTCTCTGTTGGTATTTTGAGCTATTACCTCCATGAGCATAGGCCAAGTTCATCAAATTGTAACAATTTACCCTCATTTCCTTTATCAAAAGTTTTTTTGTTTTTTTTTTATCTTCCTCTAGTCAAGTTCTGGAGTCTTGGTGTGGTGCTGTTGTTTAATAAGCCAGACTGCAAAGCCATTTGAATTGCAAGGTCAGTGGTTCAAGCTCAGCAGCTGCTCCTCAGAAACCCTATATAGGGTTGGAACCGACTTGATGGCACTTAATAATAACAACAATCGAGTTCTGATTATCAAGCCATTAAGGTTAGGTAAAATGGGTACTATCTGTGAGTTTGGGTGTTCTTGTGCACCTCCCCTCACTTCATATCTGCTGGATGCTTCACTCTCAGCTCTAGCCCTCTGTGGCTATGCCCTTGTCCATGGGCTCAGGTATCCCCAGATCTCACCACATTTTGGACCAACCAGCCCGTCCTCTTTTCTCTCTCATCTCCAGGTCAATGGGAGTCTATGGAACGTGGTTGAACTCACCCCATTTCTTCATTGATGCATTTCCCCCTTTTCTACTCACTAGTAGACCAGTGTGGTCACCAGCAAGCTTACATACCTGCTCATGTGTTCCCTTTGAGTTTCAGTCTTAGAGGGAGGCTGTGTCATACTCTTGATCAAAGAACCAAATGGGCATGCACTCATTCAAATCAAAGATGCTACACCAGATGGCTTGAGGGCCATCAATAATGCTATCAATGGTGACTGTGTGGTTCCCAGGGCTGGTGACATAAAAGTGGCAATGATGGAAACTCTGATGAAACCTAAACCTAGCATCAAAGGCAGGGCTCAACTTGGAGTGCAAGCATTTGCCAATGCATTGCTCATCATCCCCAAGGGTCTTGCTCAGAGCTCTGGTATTGACCTTTAAAAAACATTCAGAAACTAGTCAACTTGTGGGTGTAGACTGGAGCACTGGCGACCAATGGTAGCAGCATAACCAGGCACATGGGAGAACTACTGTGTAAAGAAATAACTGCTTTGCTCCTACAATGATTGTTACCAATGTTCTCCTGGTTGATGGCATCATACAAGCTGGGATGTCCTCTTTGAAAGGTTGAATCCAAGTGTCCCCTGTATGATCTGAACCATGAAGACTCACTCAATAGCATGATCCTAAGAACAGCAGTGGAATTGTTACTCCAAGCTTTGAACGATACTCAAAGGAATTTTCTGCTCCCATCTTGAAACAGGAGGACAAGCTCAACTATTCAAATTCTGAAATCCTGAGATTACAATTACAGTATTTTAAAACTATATTAAAGTGTATACACAACAAGCAAGTCCTTTTTACCCACTTAACAGGTTGTTTTCCTTTAGCTACAATGACCTAAGACATATTAGAAAGTAAATTTTCTACTTTTTTCATAAATAATCCTAAAAAAAAAAGCCCTCTCTTTCAAATGAATGGTTTTATACCTGAAGCTTCTAGAAGCCATCTATCTTACTCCCACCAGGGGAATGCCTGCCTGAGGGTGATGTTGATGGACAGCCAAGTAGAGCCAAGGGAAGGAAAGAGTAAGTGAGACTTTTGTTATTGTTGTTAAGTACCATTGAGTCCGTTTCAACTCAGAGCGACCCTGTATAGGGTTTCTAAACCTTGTGGTTTAGAAACCAGTGCTGATCCTCCAGCACCACAACAGGTACTTTTAGCCATCCCTAAAGCCAACTCTAAGGAGCTCTGGTAGCGTAGTGGTTACTAATCGGGCTGCTATCCACAGTGTCAGCAGTTCAAAACTACCAGCTGTTCTGCAGGAGAAAGGTGAGGCTTTCTGCTCCAGTAAAGATTTACAGTCTCAAAAACCCTGTACAGGGTCGCTATGAGTCGGAACCGACTCCACGGCACATAACAACAACAACAAAGCCAACTCTAAGGTCGCTATGGGTTGGAATTGACTCGACAGCACTTAACAACAACAACAAAGCCAACTCTGGAATCTTGGTGTGGCACTGTGGGTTAATGGACTAGACTATAAAGTCAGTTTGAACCACAAGGTTAGTGGTTCAAGCTCACCAGCCACTCCTTGGAAACCCTATACAGGGTCGCTATGGGATGAAACCAACTCGACGACACTTAACAACAGCAACAAAGCCAACTCTATCCTGGGTTTCTCAGTTTTGTAGTCAACATATTCTCTTTTTTTCCATCTACAAGTCTGAATCGGGTTCCTGATGCCTTCAACTGTTAGAATCTGATGCAATTTTCTGATACGGATACTTGAAAACCTCCACAAAGATAAACCAGTTGTGCCTACATGTAAATCTACATGCATTAAGGAAATATAAGGCTTACACTTACCTTTATAAAGTTCAAGAGGAGCTGTCATCATCTCCCAGATAAATAAACTTCAGAGTAGTAGCCAGTACATTTTATAATGTAACAGAGACACAAAAGACTAAAATAAAGAAATATTTTATTTCACTTTTTTCAGCCCTGAGATCCAAGGAAATGCAACTCCATGGAAATTAGAATACCAAAGAGTGGATAAGGCCATCGTTAGAGACCCCGTGCAACCAGCAGAATGTGATTGTCTAGAGTGATTCTGGGCCTTCTCAGTTTGTCATGCCAGGTGTACCATTTTGTCTAGCTCATATAACAGTTTCTGTGGTAACTTTCCAGGTTGATGAGAGCTGTCAGAGAATGGAGAAGCCCAGACAACTGAAATATTTATAGCACACAAAGAAAAACAGTCAACATTTCTTCATGATACTGACATTTTACTTATCATTAAACTCATCAGTAGACCAGAGCAAATCCCATCATGCAACATGAAAAATGCTAAAAGAGTCATTGTCTTCATACAACCAGTGAATATTTATTAAGCACCTACTGTGTGCCAGGAGGCACAGTGTTAAATGTGGAGGTTACACAGATAAAGAGTAAGGCATAGTAGGCCATCAATGAACTCTCAATCTAATTGTGCAGGCAAATATGCAAATGAAGAATGACATTGCATTGTTAGAAGTGCTGGTAACAAAAATCAGTGCAAAACACAACGACCTGGGATTCATCCTCTGTAGGTTCCACAGAAATGCCATGTGGCTTTCTCCTCTTCCCTGTCATGAAGGAACGTTTGACACAGCCTTTATTGTTAGTCTTCAGTTCCAGAGTCACAATGGAAATTCACAGCATTATTACAAGTTACAATGGACTTAAACGGTTTTCAGGTTTGTTCTGCTGAACACAGATAAGACACAGTTTTTCATTGTAGAGGAAGCTGCTTCTCTCCAGTGCTGTCCAAATGGACTGCTCTCAGTGTTCAATCTCATTAGGTCAGACACAGGTTTGTCATCTGGGGTCCCTGAAGATTTCCTTCTCTTCAACATTCAAACCCAAGCTTCAAGTATGTACCTCAAGCACCATTTCTTTCCCCAGCATGACTTACTTTTCATGTGTCCCTCATCACTTGAATGAGAAAACTAGAGACTGTAGGTCTTACTGAATGCAAAGGGCCTGACTCACGTCCCTTAGTAGCCACAGGTATAAAAAAGCAAACAAACAGCAACTAGAACCTGGAAGCTTCAGTAGGCCCCTCTCCTTTCTCCTTGTCTTCAACATGTTCACTGGCACAAAATGCAATAGAAACTTGAGTGTCAGAAATAATAAAGGGGGCAGTATAAGGAATAGTATTTTTAATGCTTTTCACAAATTGGCTTTTGCAGAGCTTCAGTATGAAGGGGCTTCAAAAAGTTCACAGGAAAATGGAATTAAAAGACAGCAAAATTTTTCCACAAACATTTGAAGCTCTCTCATATTAGGTAAAAGTCTCCTTTCCATGGTCCTGCCTTCCATAGCCCTGAAACACGTTGACTGCTCCTTGCCTACCTAGCAAAGACCCAAATCTGAAATCCAAAGATTGTCCTATTAGCCAGTCACTGGCTTCCATTTTACTCTGTTGTTCCAAGACTTTTGATTTCTAATCTGCCTTGCTGACTTCATCCATTGGAATTATACCTACTGTGGACTGTTAATGGGATCCTGGTGTAGCTCTGTAGGATAAGGACTGGATTGCTAACAGTAAGGTCAGGGGTTCAAACCCACCAGCTACTTCTCAGAATCCCTACATGGTGCGGCTATGCCTCAGAACCAACTCAATGGCACTTAACACCAACAACATCCTGGACTGTTAATGAGCAGCAAGGGCCACAGTCATGGCCCTGTGAGCAGAGAGCCCAAGGGAGAGAGGTTTCAAAACTAAGGTCTTGGGTGTCCACTTAGAGTTCATATGCACAGAGGTATGAAGGCCTCTCAATAGAAGCATTTTGCTTAGTTCATCTAAAACTTAGAGTATCTTAGTGTCTGTATATTAGCTAAAGCTTCATGATTTGGAATTATCACTAAAAATTGAACTTTATAAATGCTTTTATGATATAAAAATATACAGTTCATTCTCTAAAAATAAAATCTACAAATAAATGTCCCCTACCTCCCTCCCAATTTTACTTTTAAATGAATGCACTTAAAATTCCTCATTTGCCATACTCCCATAAATCATACTATAAAAATGGAATGTGTACAAAAATAAGAGCTCTTCATTTTTGGTAACACCTTTATCTTCCCTGTACGAATTTGATCATCTAAAAAATATTATCTATTTAGAAAATTATAAGACATTGCTATCATGTCATAAAGTCTCTACATTCTCTAGGAAAACCTACCTTTGGAAATAGTACAACTAGTGGGATTCTTTCTTAATGAGTGTCAAGTCCTGGGTGTGTTCTAGATGCATTGGAATCAGGTCAGCGACAAAACCCTGTCTGTCCTCTGTATCACGTCCAGAAACTGTCTGTGACATTGATTGACTGAAATAGAATTCTTCTTTCTTCAAATGTCATCATTGATTTCTGTGGATATCCTTAGGGTAACATTCTTAAAAAAATAATAATAAAATAAAGTTTCAAAATAGTTAAACAATTGCAGTGCCAACTATAAAACTCCCAACAGCATTGTGCCCAAGAGGCCATCTCACAGCCATAAAACACCCACTCTTTAACCCCAAAGTATCCCCTGAAGTCTTCTTAAAGTCAAACAATCATTTAGCTTCATAGTAAAAAGTGTCTGCCTTGAGCCTTATGCTCTTTAAAGAGTTATATTGAATTGACAACACCACTCAAAAGATCAGATAGGAACCGTAAAGGACAGTGAATCATGTTAGTGGGGCCGAACCCCCAGAAAAGGAGGGTGACAAGGCCTGTACTACTTGAAGAATGTAATCAATGTCACCTAATTGTACATGCAGAAACTTCAATTGGTGTCTTTTTTGCTGTGTATAGTCTCAACAACAAATAATAAATCAACATTATCTCCCATGAAAACTATCACTTAATTCACAATAAAACCTTTAAAACAAAAAATCAACATAAGATATGGGGAAAGACCTTTTTCATTTTCTGAAAATTATGAGCAGGTATATTCAGGGATAACTTAAAACAAAGGATATTTGAACTAGGACTTGAAGTAGGACCGAAGGTTCCCTGGACAAGGTGGTAGGCATTCTGAGTTAGTGAAACAAAAAACAAAAGCATGAAGGGATGCTGAGAAAAATGGGTACGTTTTGCTGTCTGAAAACATAGTTCTCTTGTTCACGACATTAAAGGTCATCTTACAAAATAATTGAAACATATGTGCTAATTTTAAAAAAGAGACAGAGAGAGAGAGAGACCATCTTACTATGTATGGTTAGTGGTATATTTGAGTTGGGTCCTAAAGAATTATTTTGGTTTTCTATATCCTTTACTAAACTGTTCCAAAAATGTGTTTTTCCCTGTTTCCAAATCTGGAAAGGTCCCATCTTCTCTTTGCTTTGCAAACATTTTTTTCCAACAACACACTTTTATTTTTCCAAAAACTCCATATTATTTGGATCTGGTAGCATAATGATTACGAGCTGAGCTGCTAACCTCAAGGTCCGCAGTTTGAAACTACCAGTTGTACCATGGAAAAAAGATGAGGCTTTCTGCTCCTGTAAAGATTTGCAGCCTCGGAAATATTATGCAGGGTCACTATGAGTCAGAACCAACTCCACAGCACCCCACCACCATCACCACCACCAAGTGTGACCTCTTCAAAAAGAAAAATCATCAAGAATATCTGACTCTAAATGTCACAGTGAACAAATGAGAGTTTCACTGACTTGGAAAGTTGTTAGATACTTCCCTTCAAGAATGGGGATTGCAATCAATGATCAGAAACAAAATGTGTATGAATTATTAAATGGAAAACCGATTTGCTCTGTAAGCTTTTACCCAAATCACAATGAAAAATAAAATGAAAGAAAAATAAGTTTTATAATGTTGTTGTTAAGTGCCATTGAGTGGGTTCTGTTTAGAATTTCTGAGGAGTGGGCTGGTGAATTTGAACCACCAACCTTGTGGTTCAAACCGACCTTGTGGTCCAGTGCATTATCCCACAGTGCACTTACACTTTTTTCCCAAAAACATGATAAAAAAGAAAGGAAGAAGGTGGAGTGCATGTCATTTGAGGGCAAAGAAACTATCTCGTATGATATAGTAATGGTTGACATGTGACATTCCACATTTGTCAAAAGCACAACACAAAGAGTGACCCCTAATGTAAACTACAGGTTTTGGTGGTGGTGGTGGTGTGCCGTGGAGTCGGTTCTGACTCATAGCGACCCTGTACAGGGTTTCCGAGGCTGTTAATCTTTACGGGAGTAGAAAGCCTCATCTTTCTCCCGCGGAACAGCTGGTCGTTTCAAACTGCTGACCTTGAGGTTAGCAGTTAAATTCGTAACCACTATGCTACCAGAGCTCTTTAAACAATAGGTTTTAGGTATCACTAATATATATCAGTATTGGTTCATCACTTTCACCAGAAGTACCCCTGGAATGCAGGATGTTAATCATGTGAGAAACAATACATGGGCATACAGCAACTGTTTACTTTCTGCACAATTTCTCTTAAATATTTTCTAAAACTGCTCTGAAAAATAAAGTCTGTTTTTAAAAAAGGAAGGCAGTGGTCTCCTTCTTCTTTTTTTTAATGCTGAAACTTTCACAAATCCTAATTGACTGCAGTTCATAGCATTTGAATAGACAAATACCTACCTGGAAATCTTGGATGAATGTTAGGAAGTAGAAAATAAAACCAAAGGCCACTGTCCATTCACAGACTGCACTCACCACATGGTATATGTAATCCTAATAACAACAGTGAAGACAAAGCACTTAAGTTAGTGTATGTACTTGTACTAATAATGAGGTGGTCAGACTTGGGGAACAGTTGCCCACTAAGTAAAAACAGACACCTGAGGAAATGCATCTGGCAGGGCAACGTAAGTAAACGTCCATAGCCCTGCACGATTCAGACGCTGAATGAAATTATTTAGAACATTGTTTCTGGCTCTAACCCACTTCTGATTTTAAGACAGCCTGTCTAACTTCAAAAGGCAGAATAAGGACCACAAATTACCCTTGACAGGGAAGCAAACGTGAACTCAACACCAGAGAGAACTTTCCATACAAGGAAGAGCTTGTTACCCAGCGCAGCTGGAATCTTGAGGTTACTGAATGAGCACCTGGGTGCTGGTACTCCAAAGAAGGAGCGAATGTGTATAGTTGAAACTGGCTATCACCACAAGTTGGGGATTTCCGTGTTATTACAGAAAATGTCAGCTTGGGAAACATTGCTGTTTGACATTAATTATTAGCTATCTACACATTAACAGAGTCTGTATCTTATTGGGGGTGGGAATGAGAAGATCGAAAGAAAAATGAGAATGCCTTTAATCAAACTCAACTGTGAATTGATGTCAGATTAGGAATAAAAAAAAACATTTTTTAACCGCTGGTTTTGAAGAGCCCTTGAAGCATGGCCTCCCCAGTGCAATTACATTTTCACCAAACTAAAAAGGGGCCCCCAAAAGGCTTAAACAGAAAAATTCAAAGCCAGCATGCTTCTGTATGTGTGTGTGTGAAAGAGAGTGTGTGTGCTCCTCTTTTAAATGCTGGAAGTTCATCTTAAAACATTTTAAAGCACTATATATAAACGATATAAGGAGCTCTGGTAGCGTAGTGGTTATGAATTGGGCTGCGAACCGCAAGGTCAGCAGTTCGATACTACCAGCTGCTCCGCGGGACAAAGATGAGGCTTTCTGCTCCCATAAAGATTTACAGCCTCGGAAACCCTGTGCAAGGTCACTATGAGTCGGAATCAACTCCATGGCACATAACAACAACATATATAAATGAAAAATGACCATCAGCAATTTGACATTAGGCCACATGCAAATGAAGCCTGTGGACTGTCAGCTTGTCACCACGGATTTCAAATAAGGACTTGATCTCTTTTCCCTACTGCCCTTTGTTCTGTTACAGGTTACTAGAGTGAGAAGACGCAGGTCAGTCCAGTGATGACTGTTGTTTTCTTCATCCGTTGATGTCAGGAAACCACATTGAACTCTCTTAGACTTTGCTGTTGGCTCTCCTCAGGGATGTTTGCTTCCAAGGCCACAATGAGGAAAAACTGACCAAAGGTAATTTTGTGTTGATGACAGTACTAGATGACAGTCTGATATTATCCATGGACAATGATGAGGGCTTATAAAAAGTGACAGAAATGGGTGGGTTTCTTTAGCCTAAGAATGAAAGAGCACTGGACCAGCGAAGCTCAAGACTCCTATTTTGGCTCTAATTCCTCCTCTACACACATGAGTGTGACTAAAGCTCTCATCTCCTCACTATGTAAAATGAGACGATGACATCTTGTCGACCACCCTACCAGCTACGTCAAGACATAGACGGTGCTGTGAAAGTTCTAAACACTGCTGTGTTGTTGTTGAGGAGGGGTAGCAGTGGTTGGCTGAATCAATTCTGATTCATGGTGATCCTTATGTGCAGAGTGGAACTGTGCTCCAAAGGATCTGACCTTTCAGAAGCAGATAACCAAGTCTCTCTTTCATGGTGCCTTTGAACTCTAACCTTTCACCTATTAGTTAAGTATTCAATCATTCGTGCCACTCAAAAAGTCAATTCAGAGCAACCCTATATAGAGTTTCCGAGGCTGTAATGTTTGTGGGAGCTGTGAGCTTCATCAGTCTATCTTGGAGGGACTAGTGGTTACACATCTGGTTAGCAGTCCAATGCTTACCCTACAGCGCCACCATGGATCCGTTTGAGTCATCCAAGGAATTCCTTAAGGATTATTTTAATCGGTAAATTAAAATAAAAGATTTTCTTTGCATTCATTGATATTTTGGGGAAAAACAAGAGTGGTGTGGTAAGTTATAGAAAGAATAGAAAACCAGGTAGTTTTCATACTTTTAAGACAGAAAACGGAGGGGCAGGGATTTTTAACTGCCTGGTTGTCCACTGTTGTGCTCTTCAAGGCATCTGATTTGCGGTGGAAGGTCTCCCCCTCGTGGCTACACAGTGACATACACTTGGGACTGCTCTGCAGAGAGGTTTCACTTAGAGGGAACGCCCTTCAAATGAAACATTCCCTGTACCTCAGAGAACTGCTTTGTGTCCACTTCTGACCTATTGGATAGAGTACTGCTGTGGCTCTGTAAGATGAGCACATGATCACAAGGTTGGTTTGAACTACAAGATCAGCAGTTCAAACTCACCAGCCATTCCTCGGAAAAACCCTATACAGAGTCGCTATTGGTTGGAACTGACTCTACAGCACTGGATGGGATTCTGGTGTGGCACTATAGGATCAGCAGTGGACTTCAAACTAGTAGGTCAGCAGTTCAAACCCACCAGCTGCTCTCAGAAACTCTATGTAGGGTCTCTGTGAGTTGGAATCAACTTTACGGCACTTAATAACAACAACAACCTCTTGGATGGTTTGGCCAAAATAAAAAGTTACATTCAATAGAAACACTTTTGTGAATTCCTGTCTGGCTCATTCTCATCATCTTCAGTCTCTCCTTGGTTCTCTTCTGGTTTCCATCACCTGCCAAATCCTTCACCTTGGGGGTGAAAATCCTTCCCCTGACCTCATTTCCCCTCTAACCTCCATATTATTTTCCCTCTTCCTCTCACATCCAGTCCAGAGTAGGACTCAGCAGACATCTTACTGATTGCTGAATAAACCATTTCCTCTCACCATGACTTGCTACAGTTTCTAACCCCAACATTCTACTGAAACTGCATTTGAAAAACATCAGTGACTCCCTAATTGCCAAATTCTGAGCCCTCATCCTTAATAACAGTTCAGCCACATGCACCAGGGCTAACCATTTCCCTTTTCCCTTGAAACATGCTCTTTCCTTCAGCCTTGGGGATAATTATCTTCTCTCCTTCTTCAGTAAGAATGAACTGCCATTGCTTCTGCATTTTAGTTTGTTGCTCGTACAATGCTACAAGCTTTCTTTTAGTCTTTGTCAGAGTATTACCTTCAGCGTAACAACTGCTCTGGGTCTCTAGTTGTAGGAGACAATCGCAATTCTAACCATTCGATCTTGTGTGTCCCCATGTTAGGTCTAGGAAACATCAGTCACTCTGCCCTGTCCTCTGATGGTATTCCATCTCACCAGGGATCGAGTCCCATCTTCCTAGCTACACATTTCTCCTGGATGCCTCACTGTAGCCTCAGAAGCAAAGCTTCTAACACCAAATTTAGCTACTTCCCTCTTCAAAATCATCTACTCCTGGGAGGACCTTACCCCTCTCCTTGCAACAGCTTACACGCTTTAATTCTCCCAAAACAAGAGCATGGAAGTCCTTTTTGACGCATCATACCCTTTCATTCTCAAGTTTTGTTACTTGCCAGCACTCATCAAAACATTTTCCCATATTACTTCCAACCTAGGCAAATATTTATTTGAATTCTGAATTAGTAAAATGGCCTTCTCCTTGCCCTCCTAACTCCTGGCTCTCTCTTCTTCCTTCAATCCACCCCAAGTGTTGCTGCTGGCCAATACTCCTACAGTAACACACTTTACTCTCCTGTTCAAAGGGTTTCAAAGCTCTCATCATTGAAATGAAGTATAAGGCCTCTCTGCCTGCCTCTTAAAGCCTACTCCCTCCTTCACAAATATATCCCTGACTACATTTATTTCTCACTCTATCCTGAAATTAACTCTCCATTGTACTTGAGTTGTTCTAGTTCCATGCTTCCTGTGAATGAGGTTGCCATGGAAACCATACACCTTCATTCACATTGGTTCCCTGCCCTTAAATGTCCAACCTTTTTACAAAGTGTAAATGAACTGTCAAAGAGAGAATTATCAATTCAGAAATTTGAAAAATAATCCCCAGGACCATAATTACCCCTGATAGCTTACTACATGTTTTTACTGTTGTTAGTTGCCACGAAGTCAATTCCAACCCCATGTGTGCTGAGGAGACCTTCTCCATAGGTTTCCACCAAGGCTGTGGTCTTTCAGAAACAAATCACCAAGCCTTTTCATCCAAGGTTCCTCTGGGTCAGTTCAAATTGCCCACCTTTTAGCTAACGGATGTCTGTTGAACCATTTATATCACCCAGGAACTTCAATTACTACACACACATTGCCATATAGTTGGATGGTAAGTTGATCAAAACCAGTTGCCACGAAGTCAACAAAACTCATGGTGACTCCATGTATGTCAGACTAGAAGTGTGCTCCACAGAAGGGTTTCAATGACTGATCTTTTTGGAACTGAACACTAGGCCTTTCTTCTGAGGTACCTCTGGGTTAGCTTGAACCTTCAACCTTTCAGTTAGCAGCCAAACACTCATAATTCCAAACATAAAAACACATGAAATGATTCTATCACACAATGGTGGTTCAGGGGAAGAACCCAGGAGGCCTAGGTTCCATTCCAGCCAGTGTACCTCATTCACAGCATTCATCCGTCTGTCAGTGGTAGATTGTGTGATGCTACGACGCTGACTCGATTTCATTTCCAGACTGATAGAATCTAAGTAGAAATACATGGCAATCTATTTCCAAAAACCAGCCAATGAAAACTGTAAGGATCACAATGGCCAACCCACAACCAATCATGGGATGCCACAGGACTGAGCAGCGTATTATTCCACTGTCCATGGGCGCACCACAAGTCAGGGGGCTAACTTGATGGCGGCAAACAAGAAGTTGATGACACGAGAGGCTCCATAAAGTTTGTGGGGAAATCCCATGATCGTTTTTTGTTTTGTGAATGATATCTCATTTAATCATTTTTGTATACAACTGAAACTCTGGGGATTCAAAATTAACATCCTTGCCCATGAGCTTATCCACACCAGAAAACGTTCAACCTTGTGTTCTATGTTGTTCTGCTGTGTTTTGTCCAAATGAACCTTTCTAAGATGGCTTCCAGTCAGCTTTACTGGAATTCTGCTGCCCACAATTTCACTTGGGAAGACCAAGGCTTCAAGGATTGCATCATGCACAGTAGTCAGAGTGCGGCTCCTGGGATGCTTTTGCCTTATTTTTTGTATAGCTTTTTCAAGTTGGCTTAGGTAGAATTCTCCTCTGAGCAATAAAGACCATGTGCTTTTCTCCAGTTCACGTACTAGTTAGACTTGGATTTTCTGGAAAGACTTATAGTTGAGGAACAGGTACAAAGATTATAATAGCTTTCCAACCACCACCAACTTCAATTTCCTTAGCTGCAGTTATTATATTCAGCTCTCTTAACTGAGCCTTTAGGTCCGAGTTCATCTCCATCTCAAGAAAAGCCTGAGAAACACCAGACTCAAATTCATCCAGCTTTTCGCCATTGGGCTTCACAATCTTCGCACTGGAACTGAACGTGGCCTTTTGCTTGCCAAGCACTGGCCTAGGAAAAAATCCCATTATCTTTTCATTCCATTTTCCCACGTGCTTTTGGAAGGCCCCTCATGTGCCATATTTATTCACTGTTTTGCAATTTGCTCAAAGAAATGACAGCCACAATCTCAAATAACCAGGTTACACAATCAAATCAAAAGAAACTTAAATTTTACCTTTTCTCTGGGATTCCACTCCAGTTTCGTTATAGATATTAGTGAAGCACAGGCAATCACTTAAAGGAAATGGTTAAGGAAAACCCTGACTCAAGTAGGTCTTTTAATAATAAGACCAGATTATTCTTCTAATAATACAATCACTAAACTGCGTTAAAATGTTAATCCCAACATTTCTGTCATCAAACCAACTATATTAGATTCTTATCATTGCAAATCTTAAGTGCAGTTATGACAGCAGTTATAGTGCATGAAACACAGTCAGTCCTTAGCAATCCTTATTTTCAAGTATCAAAATTTTATATAGCACAATTTTACCCTGAGTTTACATTTTGATTTATACTCTATTGTGCATCTTTCTGGGTGTCCCCAGTTCAGCTAGCTTTTAAAATTTGGTCAAAATGGGTCACACAAGTACATTCTATTTTGTGTACTTGCTTCTGAATGAAAGTACTTTTTCCCAAAAATAACAGCTGTAAGGAAAATTTAGTGTCACAAAGCAACAAGGCTCATATACAAAAACAAACAAAGATCCCAGTTCTCACCAAGTTAATTCCAAGTCTTGACAACCTCATTTAGTGCAAACAGCTAAAAGGTTAGGTAAACAAGCATGCTGTGAACTAAAAGATTGGAAGTTTGAATCCACTCAGATGCCCCTCAGAAGAAAGGCCCCGTAATGATCAACTTCTGAAACAGCAGCCATTGGAACCCTATGGAGCGTTTTTTGTTTTGTGAAAGATATCTCATTTAATCATTTTTGTATACAACTGAAACTCTGGGGATTCAAAATTAACATTCTGACACACATGGGGTCACCATACAAAAATGAGGAACAGAAATTCAAATAGTTATCTCTGAGGTGCAGGGGCCCTTTCTACCCTGACCCATAACTCATAAGGTTGATAAATCAAACTGACACCCGTTCCATCCACCCACCCACAGCAGACTTTGGGCATGTATGACAAACCCATCCAATCACTCCAGGACCTGAGGTCACACCCCCTATTCACAAAGGAGGAGATGACTATCCTGATTGAACTTAGGAAGCAAAAGGGAAAACTAGAGGAAACAGGATGTTCTAAAAAGTCTTTACAGAAAAATTAAGAATGTGAAGTCTTTAGCCATGCAAAGTGTAATCCACTGCCCTCGAGTCGATTCAGACTTCTGACAACCCTGCAGGGCAGAGTAAAGCTATTCCCAAGGCTGTCAGTCTTTACAGAAGCAGACAGACTCGCCTCCCATGGAACAGCTGGTGAATTCCAACTGTCAACCTTATGGTGAACTATCCAATGCTTAACCCAAGGCACCACGAACAGTGTAGTTGTTATTGTTGTTACTAAGCACCGCTCAACTGGTTCCAACTCATAGTGACCCTGTATAGGGTTTCTGAGGAGCAGCTGGTGGGTTTGAACTGCTGACTTTGTGGTTAGAAGTCCAGTGCTTATCCTACAGTGACATATCAGAACTCCTCTCAATGTAGAGCATTCTCTAGACGTGGCGCCATCACCTCCTCTCCTTCTCCTCTCCCAGGCATTTTGCAATGGCAAGCACATCTGGGTTCCTCAAATTCAAAAGCAGAAAGCATAGAAGATTCTAAGAGCATTCCGTGATCATACTTTTGTTTCTAGTTCTTTGGTTCCATCTTGTCTGTCGGGCAGGATAGGGCAAAGCAAGGGAATGACACCTGATCTTGAAGGTTACAGCCCCCTCTGAAGAAACCCGGATGACAGGCAGTGTTAGAGGAGCACAAAAGGGTGCAATGCTGGTCCAGAGGGACAATGACACATTCAAATGGGATTGCAGACTAGGTATCAGAGAAGGCTGAGACTGGAGAGGTAGGGAGTAAGGTTAAGCAACTCTCCAGAACTGCACCATCCCAAGAAATGCAATGTAAACCACATATGTAATTTTAAATGTTTTGTCATTGCTGTTGTTAAGTGCTGTTGAGTCAATTCTGACTCATAGCGACCCGTATAGGATTTCTGAGGCTACAGAACCTCTGTGGGTCAGAACCAACTCAATAGCATTTAACAACAATAAACATTTTTGCAGGAGCAGAAGACCTCATCTTTCTCCTGCTAAGCGGCTGATAGGCTTGCACCACCAACCTTGTGGTTTGCAGTCTAGTGCTTATCCTACAGAGCCACCATACTCCCATTTTTTAGTAGCCTCATATTTTAAAAGAGCCAGATGAAATTAATTTTAATAATAAATTTTACCTAACCCAATGTCAAAAAATCTCATTTCAAGATGAATTCATATGAAAAATTGAATTATTCTGGATTCCTTTGTTTATTATCAAGTCTGGAATATGTTGCACATTTCATATTTGCAGCATATCTCAGTTTGGACTGACCACATTTTAAGCACACAACCCATTTCTTTTAGGGAATGCTAGAAAAGGGAGCTATTAGAACATGAAACCCTGAAAGGTCTGAAATGCTTATTCTGTTAAAACTCTCTTGGATTTTAATATCTAGAGATGTAGCTACTGAGTTGGAACCAAGGAAAAGTTTCCTAAGAGTTACTTCACTTTTGACACGAGCTGAGAGTTTTAAGAAGATACATGAGGGTAAATCGTATTGCTGCTAGGGAATCTGCTGGGCCAGTTCAATTCAAGGCAGAGAGGTCAGTCAGCTGAGGTTACAGCAACTGTTTTTAGGAACGCTGTGGGTTAATGCACCAGACTGCAAAGCCATTTGAACTGCAAGGTCAATGGTTCAAGCTCACCAGCTGCTCCTTGGAAACCCTATACAAGGTTGCTATTGGTTGGAACTGACTCAACGGCACTTAACAACAACAACAAAGGGTACTGGTGTGGTGGCACTGTGGGCTAATGCATAGGTTGCAAAGTTGGTTTGAACCACAAAGTCGGTGGTTCAAGCTCACCAGCTGCTCCTTGGAAACTCTATACAGGATCACTATTGGTTGGAACTGACCCAACGGCACTTAACAACAACAAGGGGTAGTCTGAACAGATTTCCTCAAAAGACACGGGATGATCATGGGGCTCATTAGGAAGAAGGAAACTGAAAACTGCATTAGTGAGAAAAAGGCCAAGGAAGTTGCTCCCAGGAGTTTTTTCCATCTCAACAAAGAAGCTGCTCATTCTTCAAGCCCATTCTAGGGGAATTTCATTGGGAACCCTTACTCCCTCCATCCTACAACCCTGACCTTTAACCTTTCAGACTTATTGTCGTCATAAAATGAATACAATGTGAGTCCTTCAAGAGGGTGCCCAAATTGCCATTTTAACATAGCACATCAGAGTGCTAAATTATGGAGAAAGGGCTAGAGATGAAACCACGGCCTTCAGAAGTGTATACACCTAGATGGCAGATACATCAAAAAGGAGTCATTGCACACATTTTGTTATTTTTGTTAAAACAAGGATTCTATGAGTTTACAACAATACTTTTTGACTTACCCTCATATTTGGAGAGAAAACATGTCCAAAATGGAAGAGGAAATTGAGAAAGAAATATCTTAGGAACATGGGTATATACTTTGTTGTTAAATTTCTCAATACTAGGGTTTGGTACCTTCTGAGCTTGGAAATTGTGTAATGAAAACTATCCTTCCCTAAGAAGAATAAATACCCTAAAACTATACTTAAGACTTTGCATTTTGTGTAGATTCTATTTTAAAAGAAAAATGCAAAGCTTAATATTCAGAAGCCCATCATGTGCTTTCACTCAGCTTTGTCCATTTCAAATATAACCTAATCCAGATTTTAAAAACTGCCTCTGATAAAAATAGTTCCCAATTTCCTATAATCTGACACTTTTCACCTCTTTTTAATGGCTCTGCAACTTCTTCTGATATTGCTACAGATGGTGTTTTGAAAGATGGGAATTTTTCCACCCCTAAAAGACCACACCGTAAGGTCAGCAGTACGAAACTGCCAGCGGTTCCGTGGGAGAAAGATGAGGCGTTCTGCTCCCGTAAAGATTAACAGCCTCGGAAACCCTGTGCAGGGTCGCTATGAGTCGGAACCGACTCCACGGCACTTAACAACAACAACAACAAAAGACCACAGGATTTTAATATTCCTGGTAAACCTTATGAAAGAAAGGAAAGGATTTCCACTTTTTCTAAATCAGAATACACAAGTATGACACATGTTTCTTTTCTTCCCATATTGCTGAGTTAGGGTATAAAAGGAAACCAATGATTTTTTAAAATCCCATTTGCCGTCAAATCGATCCAACTCTTGGTCACCCCATGTGTTAAGAGTAAAGCTGCTCCACAGGCCTGTCTTGGCTGCAATCTGTACAGAAGCACAGAGCCAGGCCTTTCCTCTGAGGAGCTGAGAGCTGGGTTCAAACCAGCTTCTTTAAGGAGCTCTGGTAGCGTAGTGGTTACGAATTGGGCTGCGAAACGCAAGGTCAGCAGTTCCAAACTACCAGCTGCTCCGTGGTAGAAAAAGGAGGTGTTCTGCTCCCGTAAAGATTTACAGCCTCAGAAACCTTGTGCAGGGTCGCTATGAGTCGGAACCAACTCCACGGCACATGACGACAACAACAACTTTAAGATAGCAGTCAGTCACAAACTACTTGCCCCACCCAGGCTCTTGATAATTGAAAAAAAAGCTAAATATATCTTACTTAAATGACTTAGTAATATATAATATATTAGTGTTAAGTGCTAAGTGTTTAGTGCTGTCGAGTCAGCTCCAACTCATAGTGACCCTGTATAAGGTTTCTGAAGAGCAGCTGGTGAATTTGAACTGCCAATCTTGAGGTTCAAACTGACCTTGAGGTCCAGTGTTTATCCTATGGCGCCATGCCAGGACTAAGTTTGTTAATGTCTCTTAATAAGGACATATAAATTACACCGTCTCTTTATCACCCAGGTGCAGGGAGAGGGAGAAGGCTGGCCTCTCTGGACTTCACAGAGCTATTACTTCAAGTACAATATCAATATTTGGTGTTTTTAGCCAAGCACTACAAAGAAAAATAAATATTTTCACATGACTCATGAAACTGACCTTGTTTGAAGGAAAGTCAAGAGACTGAAGTGTTCCTACATTTTTCCACCCTCCTTTCCCCGCCAGTCTTTTGATCTAACCAGACAAGGTTGAGATATTTTCTTAATGGTTTACACTTTCTCCCAATTGTTCTCCTCAAGCATGTGGAAACTTGCCTGTTAACCTTTGCCTTTTTTCATGCTTTTTTAGGAGTATAGAGGACATCACATTTGCAAGAACATTGACAATCATGAAAAGGATACTAGGTACAACAGCTGCGCAGGACACGGCAGAAATGGCCATGCGTACGTGGCACGTCATGAGGCTGTTCCACTGGGGACACGATTTGTAAGAGATGATGGACTGCAAGAACGTGTACACAACACCGCAGACAAAAGCCAGAAGGGCTCCCCCATCGTGGACTACCGGGACAGCCAACTCCTGCAGAGACATCACAGACAGGCCATTATTCAACACTCAAGAACACTCTGTACCCTCTCAAAGCCATCAGGTATCACATGGGCACCACTTCTTGGGAAATGGAGCTGCTAAGGTTGGAGATTCAAGTCCACCCAGAAGCACAGTAAAAAGAGTGGGAATCTACTTCAGAAAGATCACAGTTGTACAATTGTACTCCTGACACACCTGAGTTCTTCATGAATTGAAATCATCTGCTGCTGGAATGATTTACTCTCAGAGATCCTATGGAGCAGGTCTACTCTGTCCTGTAGAGTTGCTCTGAGTCAATCAACCAGACATCAGTGCATTGTTCTCCATACAGGAAAGGGAGAGAAAGAAAGAAAACCACCTTTTTCATTAATTTCTAAGAAAATTCTCTAGCTCAAATGCAGGAAAGGAAGAAGTCCTGACTTGATTTGGGTTATATTCAAGTAAGGAGCTCTGGTAGCGTAGTGGTTACGAATCGGGCTGTGAACCTTAAGGTCAGCAGTTCGAAACTACCAGCCGCTCCGCGGGAGAAAGATGAGGCTTTCTACTCCCGTAAAGATTTACACCCTCGGAAACCCTGTACAGGGTCGCTATGGGTCGGAACTGACTCGACGGCACTTAACAACAACATGGCTGCATTTACATTCTGTTGGGATGTTTATCCCAATCAGACAGACTCCAGTTTTTCTACCTCTAAGATAGACTTCATACTTTTCTTGACCCAAATGCCCAGGTTTGCTGTGCAACAACCACATTCTTGGCATTTTAATTCAGCGTATAAAGAAATACATAAACACCGTATCAATTACTCGTTGATAAGGTATAGATCCTGTACGAAGAACAAACTCCCAGAGCAAATCCACTGCCATTGAGCCAGTTCTGACTCACAGCAACCCTGGATAGCATTTCCAAGGCTATAAATCTTTAGGGAAGCAGAAAACGTCATCTTTCTCCCTCAGAGAGGCTGGTGGGTTTGAACTGCGAACCTTGTAGTTAGCAGTCCACTGCTTATTCTGCAGCACCATCAGGGATCCTGCATGAAGCACAGGAAGTAGTATAGATTTCAGTTATAGATAAGACATAAAATACATTCTATGTCCTTAAAAACATGGATATACCTTGATGATACTTTGGAATTAAGGAAAATAGATCTCTTTGATTCCTTGAATATGAATCACAATGGGCAAAGAGAACTCAACAAAAGGCAAGGCATGCCTCTTTTAGGAACTGTTGTTGTTAAGTGCATCCAACCCATAGTGACCATGTATAGGGTTTCCGAGGAGCCGATGGTGAGCTTGAACCGCCGACCTTGAAGTTCAAACGGTTTTGCAGTCTGGCACATTAAATCACAGTGCCACATCAGGAATAACCTTTTTAAAATCCCGCTACTTTCTACTCTTCCATTTCTTATGATGCTAAGAAAATTGACATCCTAAATGTACATGCTTTCTTGCCTCTGTGCCCCCTTGTCTGGGAATTTGCTTTCTCAATCCTGGCCAATTCAACATATCCTTAAGGATCCTAATCTGCAAGCTTCATGCCCCCACTTCCCAACATCAACCCTGACACTGACACTATCAGATCAAAAGGCCCTCCATTTAGCAGAGGCTGTTTTTGTAATGTGTCTTTTTCACGGGGTATTATATACTCTTATCAAATAAGTGTTTGGGAAAGAAAACGATTCTTTTGGACTCCACTTAGGAAACTCTCTTGTTAATTTCAAAGATAGTACAGATAGCAAAAACTTTGGAAGGTTAAACTGTGAAAACTTTGTCTTTTCTGAAAAGGAAACTTCTTTTTGAGGGAAAATAAAGCACTGGCAGTGATAATTGAAGACACACCAAAAGGTAGCCACCACACCCACCCAATTCAGGAAAGAGCCTGAGATAAATGCATGCCCTGTCACTCAGGGAAAACCACCACCTGCCCATGCTTTCTGGCCCTCACATCTCTGAGTTTCGTGGTAACAGCTCAAGTTGGTTTGCTCATGGCTGAAAATGAATGACAGGACATTAAACAAGGAAGTTGTAAAAATCTATTTATGGGAACAATGACAAGACAAACACTTTGCTCCCAGAGAAGTTAAAGATTACAGTTCTGGTTTTGATAAAAGATTTAGTCATTTCATGGAGGCCTTAAAAATGACCCCAAATTCCACTTTCTTCCATCCATCCATCTAAGTCTTCTTCCTCAAGCGTAAATCTGGCCTTCCTGGTTTTCAGATTGACACCTGCATGTCTTATGATGTTGAGTTCTTCAGAGAATGAAGTGATACGCATCATAAAATGCATATCCACACGGTTCGGTTTCCAGGTTTCTCATTCTCACCCCACCATTGCTCTTTCTGGCTCTAGACCTGTGGGCTGAGTACTTGCTTTTTTAAATCAGATTTCCTCATTCTGACCTTGAGGGTAAGTAACTCTTGCCCACAGGCTCTTGACATATTGAACACATTGTCCTAATTCAAAGCCCAGTTTTACCAGACATTACTCATGGAGGGGGGGCGGGGGGAGGGGGTTCAAAAAGTTGGTGGAAAAATTACACTATTTTTAAATTGTCTTTTCCACAAACTTTTTGAAGCCTGATCTTAGGAGTCCTGGTGTGGTATAAGTACTCAACCTCAAGGTCAGTGGTTCAAACTCAGCAGCCACTCCTTGGAAACCCTATATAGGGTCCTTATGCAACAGAACTGACTCAAGGGCACTTAACAACAACAACATACAATCTTGGTTGTACAAGTTAAGTTATTAGCCTCTCTGGGTCTCTATTTCCTCAGTGATAAATGGGAATAGTAATGGGAACTAATCTTATATTTGAGTCATGGTGTGGCACTGTAGGATAAGCACTGGACTGCTAACTGCAAGGTCAGTGGATGAAACCCAACAACCACTCTTCAGAATCCCTATTCAGGTTCACTCTGAGTAGGAGCTGACTCAATGCCACTTAGCAACAAAAATCTTATATTAAAATAATGTAAGTTAAAGCATGGAACGCTTTGTCTAACACAAAGAATGGTCTCAATGCTTGTTATGAAAAAGAAATCATATACTATCATAAAATATGAGCAAATGCCATAAAGAGATTCTAAATAAAAAAATTTTAAACTGTTGTTGTCAATTCCGACTTCTAGTGATCCTGAAAGACAGAGTCGAACTACCCCACAGGGTTTCCAAGGCTGAAAATCTTTACAGGGCAGACGGCCACATCTGTCTCCTGTGCAGCAGCTATTGGGTTCAAACTGCCAAACTTTAAGTTTGCAGTCAAGTGCTTACTTCCTGTGCCACCAGGACCCTCCAAAGAGCCCTCCAACCATGGGACAAATGTTGCAAATCACTATGGCTTGCAGCTCTGATTTTATGTCTTATTTCCTCATAATGAGAGGATAGGAGTAGAAAAGAAAGTGGGAGCCAGAAGCAAATTTAGTTATGAGATGCATTCCATGCCTTACCTCTGCACTTGCCTCAGGGGCACTGCAATTGAGACTCTCACCTTTCTAAACTCCAAAGTTAAAAGGAAACACTAACAGTTATACGATGTATAATGTCCAAACACTAAAACCAGTGGACCCTGAGACCTGAGAGAATATCCCTGCTCTGTGGATGGCTCGGAGCCCCTTGGTGATGCAGTCGGTTGACTGCTTGACTGCTGACTGAGAGGTTGGAGGCTCCAATCCACTCAGAGGGACCGTAGAAGGTCTGGGGGATCTACTTCTGAAAAATTAGCCATTGAGAACCCTATGGAACACAGTGCTGCTCCGACACACATGGGTTACCACAAGTCGAAACCAACTCCATGGTAACTGGTTTCCTGTGCTGTGTGTGTATGTGTGTGTGTGTGTGTGTATGGTAGATGGTTTTAAAGGAGATACAGTGTAATGTTTGGAGGGGTGGTAGATGGCTTTAAAGGAGATACAGTGTCATATAACGGCTCTTTCCCCTGACCCCTCAGAGAAGACAGCAACTCATGATAGTGCCCGATCCTACAGAGATGGTTAGAGTCCCCTCTGGTGCAGGTCAGACAGGACTCTCTGGACACAGGAGTCAACTGTATAGACAAACAGCCAGAGGCTATTTCCCTCCCAGATCAATACCCTGGTGCAGTCCCTCACAATGTCATTTCAGTATACAGCGAAGCAGAGGCGGCCACTCAATATCGCCCCACCTCTCTCAGGAAGAAAGTTAAAGGGACACTTCAGGTCAGAACTGCAATTCTCCCAGGACAGGAGTAACTTCCGTTCTGCTCTCACACAGAGATAGTAAACCCGTGCTATAGAATCACTCTGACTCATGGAGACAGATGCCACGTGTGTCAGAGTAGGACTGTGCTCCACAGGGTTTTTAATGGCTGAGTGTTCAATAGTAGTCACCAGGGCTTTCTTCCGAGGTACCTCTGGGAGGACTCAAGCCTCCTCTGACCTTGTGGTTAGCAGCCTAGCGAGTTAAAGGTTTCTTCCACCCAGGGATTCCTATAGGGATAACAGGTGATGAAACAGGCAGGCCACAGGCATAAGCACGTCCAATGGTGAACAGACAACATTCATAATGGCATCAAGTACAGGGTATGGGTACCGTACCTAATATCCTTGATGCCCTGCAACAACCCTATGCATTTTCCCCCTTTTGAAATACTGGGCATTGGTACTATTAGTATTCACTTGAAATATAGCCATTTCTAAACTACAGAGTATTATCTCCAGAGATAAATAGGTTCCATGCTTTCCTGAAAGAGACCTGGAGAAGCACAGGAAGAATCCATAAGTTAGAATAATGAGAATTTTTTTCAAATACTTGACACGTTGAGCAGACGCCACAGGAGTTCATCATACATGTTAACACGCTCGAGTGGGCAGCATTTTGACTCTCTAACTCATTAGCTGAGTAACCATGAGCTAGTCATTTCACCTTCATGCACCTGCACCCTCACCTGCAAAAGGCAGAGACCAAGCGCTACTCACACATACTATCAACATGTTTCTCACAAACTCTCACACTCACACACTTTCACACACAAACACATATATAAGGGACTTCAAAACGTTCCTGGAAAAATGGAGGGAAAAGATAAAGGCATTTCTCCATGACCTTTTTGAAGCGCCTCTCCCCCACCTTGAATTTTCATTTGGTGAAATCATTACAATGGCAGAAGTACCTCCCTCAACACATCAAACCACATCAACAAAAAACATGGAGTACTACACAGCCTGTTCTATTGTGGAGGCACACACTCTTCTCACCTTAGTGCAGGTACGCTCCCCATCTCTTCAAGGTACCAGGCAAGACTTATTATCCAATTTTTATAAACTCATCAACAGTTTAATAGTAACACTAGCATTTCAGGATCATATTTCTGGCCTCAGCAAAGATCCCCCTTGTTGACGTTTGATTTTTCAAGCATGTCTCTTGTATTCCTGCTTCTCTTCCCAGACGCATATACTGAGTTGCCCACAATAACTAAAAAACATCCCTCATCATACCTGAAAATTGGCTACGATGCCCATTCCGATACATCCCACCAATCCAAGCACTAATGACACCAAGTTGAAAACAGGAGTGCTGAAGTAGCTCGTTTCATTTTGCTTCTCTACTATTTTATATCTTGTGTACATCGTGGCTGCACCTGAAAAAGAAAGGCACCCTGGTGAATTGTCACCATTTGATTTTTTTATAATGAACAACACAGTAGTAGTTTTATATAAATGTAATAAGATTTGTACTTTCCCTGAAGAAACAGAGGAAAGAAAGTCAGGAATAAGAGGAACAAATAGAAAGTGTGACTAACCGACTCTAGGGACAGCGGCCTCCTTTCCCCTGAGACCAGAGCTGCTTGAACCTGGCTATAATTACTGGACATTCTAATCAAAGCTTCTACAGAAGAATCCTAATCAAAAGGGGGGGGGGAATTCTGAACAGAATATAAAATTTTCATAGAACCCAAATTTTCTGGAGACATGGAGGCTGAATGAAAGTACTGTCCCGAAATGATTTTTACACCTTAAACCAAAAATCTACCACTCATCTGTCAGTTTGTTGTACTGTGGTGGTGTTGCAGACTGTGTACGCTTGGTCAGAGGTTCGAGGCCCTATAGGCCCGAGTGTAACAAATGAGGCCACTGGCAATTAATGGCAAATTGTTTTTCATCTTAATATTCAGTTACATGTATTAATTTAATACACAGAGCCCTTGATAATCCACAGATAACTGTGATATTTTCCTAAAGCCTAAGACTAAAAGTTGCAAGGTCAAGCCTTTCTCCAAAAGGATTAACTAAAAATATCTTAGCTACTTCTCAGTTGTTTGTTCTATAGACAAAGAACCCATCCTCCCTAATCCTTTTCCAGGTGCAGCCCATTCACCTGGGCGTCCGTCCGGAGTCCTCCTGAAAACCTGGCTCAGGAAGCCGAAACAGCGGGACTCCACCCAAGCTTTTGTCCTTACCTCTCACTTTCCCCCACCTGAGCTCAGGGGCTATAGATATGTTAATTGGGCCTGAGAATCCAAGTTGCTGGCCTGGGAGTCGAACCAGCGAAGTACGATGTAAAGTTACCTGAATGTCTGGAAAAGTACTGATGTTAGCTGTACCTTGCCTAAGTCCCTCCCAGCTTGGTGTGAAGCTCCTCCCCTAAATAAAACAGAGGCCCGGGCCTCCCCAGGTGTGCATTACAGGTTGGAGGGCATGCAGTAAAGATTGCAGTGCATTACAGGTTGGAGGGCATGCAGTAAAGATGGCAGGGCAGTGAGTTGCTGCCTGCAGAGGCCACGATGCCTGTACTCCCAAGCCTGCCCACCAGTGATGTATCCACCCTGGTTTCTGGGTGCCTCCTTGTCCCCCTTCTTCTGTCTATCTGTGTATTCTTTTGCTATATCTACCGCCGTCAGGTATCTCCTCCTCGTGAACCGAACCCCTATGTCGAGACAGGTCCCCGACAGTGGTGGCTTGCATGGTGCAGTGATGCTGGAAACTATGCCACCAGTATTTTAAATGTTAGCAGAGTCACCCATGGTAGACAAGTTTCAGTTGAGCTTTCAGACTAAGACAGACTAGGAAGAAGGAGAGGTGGACTACTTCTGAATGTTTAGCCACTGAGAACCTTATGAATAGCAGTGGGACACTGTCACCACCAGAATATTGTCAAGTGTCACAACGATTGTGAGGATGCCACAGGACCAGGCAGTGTTCTGTTGTATACAGGATTGCTGTGAGGTGGAACCAATTCGATGGCACCTAATAACAACAAAGCCAAGTATATCCCCTGAAGTCTTCTTAAAACCAAACAATTGTTGTTGTTGTTGTTGTTGTCTAGTGCCATTGAGTTGGTTCAGACTCATAGTCACCCTGCATAGCATTTCCGAGGAGTGGCTGGTGTGTTTAAAACCACCAATCTTGCAGTAAGCAGTCCAATGCTTATTCTACAGACCCATCTACAGACCCATTAACTTAACTAGTAAAGAACATCTGCCTGGCGCATTGTGCTCTTTTAATATCTATCTATATGAGCTCAAACTGAGAGCAACAATTCAAAAGATTAGATAAGAAATTTAGGGGGCAATGAGTGTGTGTAAATGGAGGAGGAAGAACTTTGGAAAAAATGGGTGAGAATCTTTGTACAACTTGAAGAATGCAATCCATGGCACTGAATTATAAATGTAGAAACTGTTGAGCTGGTGTATTTTTGGCTGTGTATATTCTAAACAACAACAAAAAAATTATTTTTTTAAGATTTGTATTTTCAATTTCCTTATTACAACTGTCTCCCCTTTGGCTCACTCCCATTCTTCCCCCATCTTACTCTCTCCCCAGCACACACACATATACATATCCACACAGCCATCATGGCTGTTATTCTCACATGCGTACTGTCAGAGAGCATGGATTGCTGTTACTTAACAATGTACTATCAAGATCTTCCCGTGTCCGTATAAAGAGAACCAATTTCATCATCTTTAGGAAGTTCATTATGCTCTATAGGAGTCATGGTGTGGTGCTGTGGTTTAATGCATTGGACTGCATACTTGGTTTGAACCACAAGGTCAGTGGTTCAAGCTCATCAGCTGCTCCTTGGCAACCCTATATAGGATTGCTATGGGTTGGAGCCAACTCAACGTCATCTAACAACAACAACATTATGCTCTATGGTTTGATACCATGTGTTGTTGTTGTTAGGTGCCATCATGTCAGTATGGACTCATAGCAACCTTAGGCACAGAAGAACGAAACACTGCCCGATCCTGGGCCAACCTCACTACTGTTGCCTCGCTTGAGTCCATCAATGCTGCCACTTAGCCAATCCATCTCGTTGGGGGTCTTCCTCTTTTTCTTTGACCCTCCACCTTACCAAACATGATATCCTTCTCCAGTGACCGGTCCTTCCTGACAATATGTCCAAAGTATGAGAGATGAAGTTTGGCCATCTTGGCCTCCAAGGAGCACTCTAGCTGAACTTCTTCCAAAACTGATCTGTTGGTTCTTTTGGCAGCCCTTGGCACTTTCAATGTTCTCCTCCAAAACTATAACTCAAGCATCAATTCTTCTACGGTCTTCCTTATTCACTGTCCAGTTTTCGCATGCATATGAGGTTATTGAAAAGACCATGGCTTGGGTCAGGAGCACTTTAGTCCTTAAGCTGACACCTTTGCTCTTCAACACTTTAAAAAGGTCTTGTGCAGCAGATTTTTCTAATGCAATACAACATCTGATCTCTTGACTGCTGTTTCCGCAAGTATAGATAGTTGATCCAAGAAGAATGAAGTCCTTGACAACTTCAATCTTTTCTCCATTGATAAGAATGTTGTTTATTGGTCAAGTGGTGAGGATTTTTGTTTTCTTTACATTGAGATGTAATCCATGTGAGGGGGGCTTGAAAAAGTCTGTTGAAAAATGGAATTAAAAGATAATGGAATTTTTCCACAAACTAGTTGAAGCTCTTTCATATTTATTTCATCATTCTCCTAATAACGGGGTTTTATATTGCTTACATTTTTGTTTGTTGGGTTTGTTTGGGGTTTTTTGCTATTACAAACAATGTTCAAGGAACATTTTTGTATATAAATTTTTAGGCACACTGCCAAGCATGTATCTCTGAAAGACGAATTCCTAGAAATGGAATGACTGGGACAAAAAGACATGCACAATTAAAACACTGAGAACTATTTCCAAATTGCTCTCCAAAATACAATTTATACTCTCACCAACTGAGTTCGAAAGTAATTCTGGATCCCCTTGGGAAGGAGCTCTGGTAGCGTAGTGGTTACGAGTCAGGCTGCCAACCTCAAGGTCAGCAGTTTGAAACTACCAGTGGTTCCACGGGAGAAAGATGAGGCAGTCTGCTCCCGTAAAGATTTACAGCCTTGGAAACCCTGTACAAGGTCACCATGAGTCAGAACCAACTCCATGGTACTTAACATCAACAACAATAAATTTTAAAATGGCAGCCCATTGGCTGAATTTACATTTCTCTGATCATTAGTGAGATTATATAACTTTCTAAATGTCTACTGGTCCTTTGTATTTCTTCTATGAACCTTTTTTCTTATTTTCCCTTCAGTTTCTCTAAACACTTCTAATTAGAGTTGCTTTTAATATGT